TGTACATTTAACAGGGCTTCACATTTAAGGACACGTCTCTGGCAATGGTGGGCATCGCCTCATTTGCCGCTCAATACGTACTGAAGGGCCTAATCCTGAGCCCCATCGGGTTTTACGTGTCCGTCCCGGTGGGCGCGTTTGGTAGCATCGGATCCATCGGAATTCGGTCCTATTTCGCCAAAATCGTTGAGCCCTACGAGTTGGGCAAAGTGTTGTCCCTTATGGCGGGCATCGAGTCCGTCGTACCATTCATCGGCTCCTTCTTCTACACCACTATATTCAACGCAACCTTGGATTCAATGGTCGGCCTGTCGTTCCTCATCACCGGCGGTATACTCGTCGTCCCGTTTGTGATCATGATTTGGATCCACTTCTTCACCGTTTCGCCAGATTTTGCCGCAAATACTGATAATAATGACGATAATAGCGATGCGATTAAAGCAAGTGATGATAGCCCGGGACAGGCATTGAGCAATGTTTGACGTTAATTAATGTTTATTTTTAAAATTTGCTCCAGGTGATTGGTTTTGTAAAATATGGGTCTATTGACTAGCGCATGTAAAGTATTTTATTTAAAATTCATTATTCAAACTTATAATTTTATAATTCAATGTTGTAATATATAAATGTATAGATATTAGTATTATATTAAATAATTTATTTATCAAAAATGAAATGATGTTTTAGTTATTCTAATATTTAACATATATAAATTTAATTTATTAAATTATCAATATAAAGTAGCACAGGTGTGCCAAATAGTCTATACTTACTTTACGTTACTTCAATTGATTTACTTAAGACTACTGTATAATCGCATAAATTATCTATAATTTGCTTTAATACACAAATGTGTTATAAAATCTATAGGAATCTACCCACTTTGATATATTGAATACTTTTCATTGAATTTCATAGGATATACTTAAATAAATTAAATAGCCGCATATCAATAAACAGACATATAATATACGGAACCGGCATATTTGTTACAGTACAGTGAGTATACAGTATGTGTACAGTAAATGGACAGGTATAAAGCATAGCATAGTGTTGATGGATTATCGGATCGTTCAAGTGATTTATTTAAGACTATAATCCCAGAAATTGTATCTACATGTAGCCCTATAGTCTAGAAATAAATATTCTCTAAGCATTTTGATTCTCTTCATTTGATAGTTTGAAAGCATTTTAGTTTTCATTCATTTCATACATAATTCACATTAAATAGTGTATTCGTGCGGACAATGAGTGCTATACTTATGATGTGTTGTGTGTATGTGTGGGTCATATGTATCCCAATGTGTGTGCAATCGGTGTATACCCCGGACACCAAACACATGGCTCAAGTGGACGACCAGATGGATGTGCCTGATCAATCGAAAAACTTGCCACCAGACAACAATTACATACATATCAGTGTAATGTTTGTTATACTTATACAGATATTGTTTATCATTTTAATGATACTGGCAGCAATCATAGTGGAGGATGAAAAGTATCCGGACAAAAATGGTGGCTATCATCCTTGTGCTCGCACAGTTGGCATACTGGTGACAATTATGTTTATTTTGCTACTATTAAGTATGATTGTGTCAATTATCTGTCATTATGTATAATTAAATAATTTATTGACTAAAAATAAATTTCATTCACGAATAAACAATCTTGGAAAATTATTTACACTAATCGATGGTATAATATTTGAATTATAAATCTGAAAATAATAATTAGCAATCAAATAATAAATCTTTAATAAATAATAAATATTTACACCGTTTTCTCAATTATAATAGTAATAAAATACTTAATAAAACTCATTATGATTTTGTTGTCCATTATTAGCATTTCTGGCATTTCTTAATTCAAAATTATTGCCATTAGTATTAGTATTAGTATTAGTTTCGTGATTATGATTATGACTCTCAGGTTCGGGTAATATAGTAAAAGTCTGAATCCAAATAATAAACACGAGTGGTATTAGTAAAATAAAGGCCACAATGAGGAACGGGAGGCCCTGTATCTCATCAATTGTGGCGTTAAATATAATGTTAATGACTTCTGTGGCCACCAATGGAGTGGTAGCCTCTGTAGCGGCGAAAAAACTCAACACTTTTCCCAATTCATGGCCTTTGAATAGCTTATATAAATGGGATCTGATGCCTATTATAGCAAACACTCCCAAACACCCGGGTATTATTGAGTAATAGAAACCGGTTGGTGACAGTATGAGACCCCGGATCAGTTGCAGCGAGAAAAACGACATCAAACCTATCAGCGATAGTGTCGTGTCCCGTAGTCTTAACGCCTAAATGATTGACACAATTACCAAAAAAAGTTTTACAAAACTTTTAATTATCAAAAAAATGTTACCAAAAGAAATGGCGACAGAGCTATAGTGCCCACAGCGATGGCCAGACATCCGATGGCCGACGTGTTGACATACGTGTCGTAATCCCAGTGGTAGACCTTCTGCGAGAACTGGTAGCCGAAGACTATGGGCCCCAAGTTGGACGAGATATAACTGATTACAGACAGGAATAGCAAAAGGATCTGAAAGCGCACGTAATTGTCGCGCCGTTTCACTAACGACATCAACATTTTGTGTCCGTTTTTTATGTTAAACAACAGTTTCAAGGGATGTATGAACTCGTGGCTTAAGAAGTGTCTGAGTTTGGCGTTCACTCTATGGGCCACACTTTTCCCATCGACGCTGTCTGATACTGAGCCAAATCTGAACTCCCATTCCCTAATGTCTCGCTCCTTGTCCACCATAAATATTGACCAAATTAGTGCAAAAACTATGACCACACCACTTATGGTAAACACCCCCGAGTAATTATGTAACTGACCCCCGTTGAACATGGGGTCCGAGTTTAATATGTGGGCGCTCGCGTATATGCCCAGTGCCTGTGCTATGGATAGGAATTTAAATAAGTTAAATATACCTGTATAGTTTAGATATTTTGTTTATAGACTAACCTAGTAAGTTTAAAATCTCAGCCACTGTTAATCTGGTGGTTAACATATGGAAAGGGGTTGTGATTGCGATATATGGCCAGGTAGCTGACAACAAGGCAAATAAGCCACCGGATAATATACCAGGCACATAGGCGGTTAGTATTAAGGCTTTATCTATTTTTAAATGAATTAAAGTATTTTTAATTATAGTGTTAAATGGTTTTTCCTAGTACTTACCCCAATCAAAGTAGTAGTCATTGAGTATAAGTATAATACACTCAGCAATGATAGCCAAAGCACCGGTAATTAGTAACCACTTTTTGGCCTTAACGTAGGTGTCTGTCCAGTGACCGATTATAACGGTAGCCAACAGTGAGGGCACTATTACTAAAGCAGTCTTATATAGAAATAGATGTTTTTTGTCCTCATATATCGTGGGCCTCATGTCCAGGTAGTCCTCGTGGTCTGTCATAGTATGCAGTTTTGAACAATAGGTTGCATTCAAGTGATACTTAAACCGACATATCTTGTCGGCCACCAACTGTTCCGTTAACTCCCGTTTCATGGTATAGACAAATGTGATGGCAAACAGGTAGGGCTCCACTCGCAATAGGCTTAGGAACTCACCCACCCTTTTGATTCTAGGTATTAGACCACCTTTTGAATGCATTGTAACTATTTATTTACTTATGCATCACAAAATTAATAGATTATTTTAAAAATATTTTTAGTTTAATAAATTATTTGAATGAATTTACGTTGACATTATAAATAGAGCACCATTTCATAAGGTGTGGATATATACTGCATATATCATATTTCCACTTCAATACAGATATAGTTTAATACATATACTAAATAGTTTAGTATCTATAACCTTTCAAAAATATAGAGATATAATAATTCAGGATGCTTATGATATACATTTTTAATACAATTCCTGGAATATATAGCAAATATTACTATAGCTATATCTAATCTGGCTTATTTATGAGATAAATTTAATACATGAAACAATGGATAGTTGCTTAGTTTTATTGTAAATTATTTTCAAATATTTATTATTTTTATATGTACAGGGATTAATCGGACAGGTGTCATGAACTACAGTGTGTTTACCTTATTATTTGTTTATCTGAATAAATAAAAGAGTTTAATAAAATTTATTACTATATTATTATGATTATGTTTAAAAAAATATATAATATACACATCATAAAGTTTTATTTATGTGCTTGCTAAAGCTTTAAACTTTACTTTCATTGCAACTTTTATTACACTCACTATTAGTATCTGTATTTTTAATTGTATAACTATTGCGATTATAATCAGGCAACTTTGTGTAACAATGGATCCACGTGATTACAATTGCGGGCACCAGTAGTATGAGTGCCACCACTATTAATTGCAGTTTGGGATTGGAGTCTATGGTGGCGTCAAATAATAAAGTAAACACTTCAGTGGCTAATAACGGAGTATTTGCCTCATTCATGGCAACCAAACTGAATACTTTTCCCATTTCATGCACGTCTATGATCTTGGTCATGTGTGCCCTAATGCCCACAGTGGTCAGTGCGCTCAAACAGCCGGGTATTAATGCATAATAAAAGCCATCAGTCGAGAGGGCCAGGGCTCGGGTCATGTTTAGTGTGAAAAATGAAGTCAACCCTAACAGGGATAGTGTCGTGTCTCTCAGTTTTAAGACCTAAAATAATTGTTAAAATATTTTTAACTAACGTTTAAGTAAGCTATGTAATTAATTATAATTTACCCTTAATAGTACCGGTGCCATTACAAATAATGCTAGTGCCAGGACCAGGTTTTCAATGGCAGCCCCACCACTATAAGTGTGAAAGTCCCACGAATAGACTACCTGCGCGAAACCACTCATCATGATAACAGGTCCCATGTATGCTAATAGGTACAGGGACACCACTGTCACCAATAGGTGTATGGCGAGTTTACCGTGATTATCTCTTTTCCCCATTAGTGATCGATGCATGTGTTTAGCATTCTTGATGTTAAATAATAGTCTCATGGGATGTATGTCCTCATTATCTTTGTATTGTCTGAGTTTATCACTCACTCTCTCGTCAATACCGTTCCTGTCCGAGTCGGGTATTACACTGAACTTGTTCTCCCAGTCCGTTATATCCCGTTCCTCATCCACCATATATATTGTCCAAACGATTGCCACAATCATAGCGATGATACTAATCAAGAATATTCCGGAATAGTTATGCAACTGACCCATTGTCCACGGGGAGGGTTCGCTCAATACGTGAGCGCCTGTATACGTGCCTACGGATTGAGCTGTCATATAAAATAATATAAAAATTATTAATTTTTCATAAATTGCAAACATAATATTAGTACATCATATTTATACAATCAATACAAACCTAAAAAGTATATAACAGTAGCTAATGTTATTCTTTTAGTTATGATATGAGATGGTGTTGTCATTGAAATATACCCCCAAATGGCAGTTAATAGCGAAAGTAGGCTACCCGACAGTAACCCAGGTATATATGCCAAAAGTACCCATAAATATGCTAAATAATTCAATAAACAGAGAAAATTTATTTTAATTTTATCATAGATATTTAAACTTATAAATATAGTACTTGTATAGTATTTTTTACTTACATTTATCAAAGTAATAATCATTTAACATAAGTATAATGCACTCTAAAATGATAGTGATCGCACCGGTAATCAGTAACCATTTCTTGGCCTTAATATATGTGTCAATCCAATGGCCAATCAGTAATAAAGTAAATATGGACGGGACGGACACCATAGCCGATTGATATAACATAAAGTGCTTCTTATTCTTTAATATCGTGGACTTCATGTCGAGGTAGTCATCCCTGTCCAGCATTGAATGAAATTGTGAACAATAGGTCTCATTCAGATCGTAAGTAAACCGGCATATTTTGTCGATCACTAATTGTTCAGTCAATACACGTTTCATTGTATAGACAAATGTGAATATAAATAGATACGGTTCCACGGTTAGCAAGCATAAATACTCGTAATATTTATTACACTTGTATTTAATATTAATTTTTGCGCACATGTTTATAAATTGTCAATATTACTTCAGGTGCTAGTTCAAAAATATAAAATTTATAAACTATTGTCACTTTTGCGCGAAAGTGAGATTTTAAAGACTAATTTAAAGTTAAAATAAGTAAATAATAGTGAATAGTTAAGGTCCGAGTATTATACTGTATTAATATATAATATAACTTAACTTTAAGTAAAACTCAAGTCTTTGTAAGAATAAAAATATTGTTTATAGAATTTAATTTTGAAATGTTTGGGTTTACATGATATTTATATATGGTTATTTTCTAATATCCTGGTGATTAAGTCATTTATACATAAAATTCATAATTGGTTTAATAGTTACAAATTTTGAATGATAGCGATACCAAAATAGTACTCAACTGCACCCTTTCGATGGGTATACCGTAGTATCTTATCTTTTACTGTAGATATACAGTAATATTACACCACAAAATCGTAATGTACTTAAAGAGCATAAATAGACAGTGGTATTTTACAGTACATATTCACAGAATTGTGATGATTCATTAATTAAAAGTTTCAATGAGTTATTTGTTGATCTTATTATCTTATTGTTTCTTACTAACAAACGCACCTTGATCTTATTTTTAATACTGTCTGATTAAGTAATTAATATCGCAATAGTAAAAATTTTTTGACACTAAACCCATCGTTCCTTGGTACATTATCTTAATTTCCACGAGGTTGCATACATATATTGACATAATGGGTAAGTATAAAACTTATCAATTTTATGACACTACATATAATTAAAATAATTAACAAAATATTTATACAATTAATACAGTTTTTGAAATTATTTTTTAATATACTTACTTAATTTACTTTATTAATTGTGATAATTAAACTTGTTATATACATTTTACTATAAATTAATTGTAAAATTTTAAAAATTAATTAGAGTTTAAGTTTTCAATATTTATTTATAGTAAATAAATTAATTTAAAAATAAATGTTCAGACACAATAATCAAAAAGTTTCCAAATATTTATACCAAAGGTATTCGCATTCAATAGACTTAACATTGAGTCCAAAATTAGTTTTAACTTTTGGTTCAGTAGTGAACTCATAATAAGGAGCAATCACTCTATCGTTGAGTCCATAGTATTGACGCCATTCGGCACCGGACTGGTCGGCAGGCTTTCCCTCCCACGCAAACGTAGTGAAAGCCTTAATCATTGCCCCCGAGATCTCCCTTTCTTTGGGTCCATATCTATCGTACTCCTGAAACGGTAGACCAAACACAGGATAGATGTCATCGAAATGACAGACACCCATCCAATCGGAACAGAATAGTTGAGCGCCGGCTGTAAACTTAGTGTTGAAGTAGTACTCATAAACCCGGGACCTCTCACTCCCCTTATGGATACCCTTAGC